ATGAAACCCAGTCTCAGGAGCTCCTCAAGCTGACGCTTGAGTTCGGTGGCCTCGAGGATCGAGAGTCTGTAGGGTGCCTGGTGGTGAACACGATAGTCAGGCACAAGCTGAATGGAGTGCTCGACGTCACGCATCGGTGGGATGTCGGCGTACGAGAACGACGATGGGAAAACGTCGTGGTACTCTCGGATGAGGTCACGAACTGCGGGCTCCAAGTCAGCCGTATATCGTGTGAGTTCCTCAGCGTCAGCGTCAGCGCGCGACGGCGGGGTGGACTCGACGGACGGCGGAGGGACGGAAGTAGAGATGGGAGCCATAGGGATAGAGAGAGGATCTGGCTTCGAAGGGATGAGCTCGGCGTCGGGACAGGGTGGATCATAGTGTAAGAGATCCGTCACGTCCACCATATTGAAAAGTCAGTTCTTGTTCTGTTCTGCACGTTACAGTATGCAACATGTCATTTCCAACAGTACTTATTCCGTTAGCACCATTTGTCTAGTTTCTCTCCTTTGCGATTCGATGAAGATCCCTGATGATTCCGGTTTGGCGGCTGGATGAAACGTAGCGTAGGGTAGGTGCGCTAGGATGATCACGCCTATCGAATTTTTTTGTGGCGGTACTTACAGTTTTAATCTTACAGCCTTTCGGTCGCGTTTTGGGAATATCGGAAGTCGGGACTATCTCCTCTCTCCCTCTTTTCGTTTTCTTCTTCTTCTCTCTCTCTCTCTCTTTCTGTGTGTGTGTGTGTGTGTGTGTGTGTGTGTGTGTGTGTGTGTGTTTGTGTGAGAGGAACATTGCCTGTTGTGATTCGTTTGTCTGCTTTGGATGACTTTGTCTTCCCATAACTGTTGTGTTCTCCCTCTACGAATCCCCAGATACTGAATCTGATCTCTATCTGACTGCAATCATGATTTCTCTTGTGTGTATCTGATTACAATTACGACCAAAGAGGAGTCAAAAAAGTCTGTGCCAATGTGTCCTCAACTAGTTGACTACTTTGAGTGTTGTGAGGGGAAGGATTCAGCCTCCAGATGAGTGACTGTCAGTGCAAGTTCGACAAAACAGCCTATCCCCACTCGTGTTTTTTCCTTTCTGTCGCATGCTGTCTATTTCTGATCGCTATCTTATACAAGTGGGACCCGGCAGGCTACGCCTGCAGGAAACACCCCTTCTTCCTCTTGATCATTCCCTACCCAAACAGATCGGTGTGTCTTCCCATGTCTCAACGGGAGAGTCATTATTTTGCAAAATTTGCACACAACAGTGGACCAGGTGCATCTTCTGATGTTCTGATGGGAGATCCATCACATTTAACACATTCGGTGAATTTACCAGTTCCAGTCCATCCAATCTTAGTTAGTGGTGCAGGCCGCGCAACTAATGGGTTAAATTACCAAATCAAAGGCAGACGTAAAGTTTAACCTACAACAAAACAGTAATTCACACTTCTTTTGCGAGATGTACACCAATTTAAATCAAACGCAGAGCTAGCAGAGTGGAGAAACTAAAACTTAAGAGGCCTCCAACTATGAGCAACTGGGAACGAAGAGAACGGATGTCCAAAGACGTCTTTCAAAAACCAAATTTAATTGCAGGAACACTAAGATAAATAGGCTCTTAGATGAAAATGGCGGATCCACGTCAAAAACTACACAGCTAGCCAACATAGCCGCCAACTTCTACAAGGGCGTATACAACAGTAAAACCCCGGAGTGGGGAGAGACGGCGAAATAACTTGAGCTAGGTTAAAGTTTTCGGCCCACCTAGATCGGTCCTTATCCTCCGAAACAGCGGACAAGTTAGATGAACCCATCTCAGTCAAGGAAATTCATGAACTTCAAGCCCCAGAGGACCTGAAACATAACAAAGCACCAGATAGAGATGGACAATTGAAGGAATTATGGGCCGAAAGTTGGCCCACCCTTGGCCCCTTCTTTCTGAAATTCCTCAGTAGGGCTTGGAAGGAAGACTCCATAGAACCTGACCTGAGTACGGGAGTTGTGACCCCTCTCTACAATAAAGGGAACAAAGAAGACCGAAGAGACTACAGAGTCAAGTACAAACCCATCTCCCTGTTAGATGTAGGCTCATGTAGCCTACACAATCTTAGCCTAGCTCCCCGCCAATAGATTAAACTACATCACAGAAGGCTGCTTCTATTCGGACCAAACAGGATTCATCCCAGGCTATGTAGCGCGCCGAACATTTTCAGGACTTTCCCGAACGCCTGATCATGTTTGGGTGTTCGGTCGAACACCTCCGAAAAGTGTTCGGTCGAACATTTTTATTTTAATGATTTAATAGAATTTTTTTTTTATTTTTTTTTTAACTCGAGTCTGGTTACGAAGTTGAACATATCTCTCAGGCAAAAGTTGTTTGTATTATTATTTTACATATTAACATATATGTTTTTCATATTTCTCTGATAAATTTTTGTTTTTTTTTGGTAATATTTTTATGTTCGCGTTCGGAGGGTTTTGGCGCTCGTTCGCCGAACGCAAACTCACTCTCTACAATGTCATCATTGTAATGACCTTCTACGAATCCACCAGGATAATCAGACAAAAGAACATTATAGCAGCAATCATGTTTTCGACTTTGAGAAGGCATAAGGTCAGGTCTGGGACTTTCCACAAACCTTCAGGGAGAAGATGGGAGTAGACAAAAGACAAAAGGGGACAAATTCTTCACCTACCAACAACCCTTCTCTTCATTGACGACCTGACAATCCTCATCTGGCAAGGGCGATGCAAGCATTTCAATTAGCCTAAAAAATGCAAGTCAACTGATCAAAGACAACTGGATGGTGGCTCACAGAATAACCCCCTCTCATCGAAATCTCCCAAGAAGGCTTATTATGGGTAGATCGTAGACCCCACCGCCCCCATTTACATTCTAGGAATGAATTTGAGTATAAAAGGTTGTCACCCCAATTCGGGAACCTCCTTAAGGTCAGTAATGCACAGTTGGCAATGAATACACACATCACTCCTCCACAGGGCCCTACCTCTAAATAACTCCATATTGTCAATGATGTGGTTCGCCACCTCAACGTGGTTCTCCTCAAACCTCCAACAACAAAGCAGACGTAGAGCAACGATCTTCATGTCGATCGCAAACCCGGACAAACAACACTTCATCCATAAAGCAGTGTGGTAGATAGTTACCCAACCCAAAGAAAGGCGGGGATGAGAAATTATTGACCTTTCGCGGCAAATACAGACCCTTCAAATAAAATGAATTATCATATCGCCTCTCCAAGGCAACCTCCAATTGGAACAATTAGCCCTCAATTATATTAAACAATTGACACCCTTCTGTTCTCCACATAACATGTCAGGTCTCTTCTAGATCTTCAACAAAACGTGCCCCCTCCCAAGAGACAATAGAGGTAGAAAAAACATCCAAAACTGGACGAGGAGAACCTGGGGAATCCAAAATCCTCCTGGGAACAACTCATTCACACAAGGAGAAAGATCGGCCCAGACAACAGGATCGGCCCCAAGAGGAGAAAGTTAACGCTTTGTTTCTCATACAACCCATATTTGGCAACCCTTCAAGGATGAAAGAGGCTGATGCATCCCTCTCACCAAGTCCGATGCCGAATGGGGGCATTGGCTAGAAGGGGGTATGGAAAATCGAACATTAAGGGAACGAAACTACAAATTGCTGGAAAACAGAGAAGACACTACGAACATCACTACAAGGTATCCATAACCTTCAGGCCAATATCTCATACATCATAGAAACACATCCCCATCATCGGACCCCATTAAATGGCGGCAAGTTCGCCGGCAACGACTGAAGTCCAAGCAGAAGTGGCTTTCAAATTGGGGAGACTGGGCAGCGATAAAAGACCAACCAGAAACCCGAGAGACTCTCAAAACAATCAAATGCGAAAACCACAACAACAACTGGATATTGTGTTCAATCTTCCCGCTAGAAGAACCAAGCAACCCCTCGAGCTACCTTACAACCTGAGCAAAGAATATAGACTCTGAGCCAAAGAATGGCAAAGAGACCAATAGAACAAACAACCTCAAAACAATCAGGGTAATAGGAGTTGTTGCGACTTGTATGCACCCACGTACGAGTACGATTACTCCTGTACTCATACGCTACTCGGACACTAGGGGCCGGAACGACTTTTTTTCTTTTTCCCCTCAAATCATAATATGAATCTGCAGATGACGCTCAACCAAATGTTGCTTGTTTTGTGCTGTTGCAACAAAAAAAAAAATTTGGATTTTTTTGATGACTTTTTTTTCCGTACGGGGGCCTACAAGACGTACAGGTTCCCGTACAGATATTACCTGTACGTCTCGTATGGAAAGGACACGTACGTGTATGTTCGATAACATAGGAAGGAGACAGAATGGAAATCAGTAACTTAGACGTAGACCCAATCGAATGGTTTTGGAGCATACCAAGCCGCTTCTCCATTGTTGAACATCAACACCCTTGAACTGACTACACCCCCAAATTAGGATGTAGACCGAATGCAAAAACAACATCTCTCTCAACTCACATACAAAAGAGATGACAGAAAGGGGAAATCACACTCTCTAGAACAACCATCAGACCCCCAAGGCCCTCAATCTTCTGCATAATACCTGTCAAACTAGCCAGCCTATTTTGGGCTGTAACTTTCAGAGCCGTGTCGGTTAACTCGTGGCTCGCGCAAAGAAGTAAAAAGAAAAACAGAACTAGACAATTAACTTGGTCAGAATGCAACACACAAATCAAAGAATCTCTCAAGTCGGGCGGATGACGGGCACAACCTCACAACCGTTACGCCATTGGTGAAAGCATCACGCATCCCACAAGTCGCCACCTTCACAGATGGTAAGCAGCCGAGGCAGGGCTGACGGCGCCTGACGCCACCTGCGCCATCACTCCATGGCGTCACTCGGATGGCGAAGAGCGCAGAGCCTCCTTACCAAGTTGCGACAACACCCAAGACAAATGGAGCGCGCCATTGTGAGTGTGGAGACGAAGAACACACCACAACAATGTTGCATTCAACCACTGCGTCAGAGAATGCAATAAGGCAAAAAAAATGTGGCAAGACATAGAACTAACCTGGAACAAACATTCCAACAATACCATAATGATCAACCTCGGCACACTACTTTTAAACAAAGAACAATTTTTCCCCTTGAAGGATTCAACCTATTCCTCTTCTGAGTCTTCTTCTTAATTAGAAAGGGGACCCTTTGGGCCATCTGGAAAAGGAGATGCGAACTAACCTGCGAGGCTATGTAACCGTTTGAACGCCATGAGCGGGTGTTCACGTTCAAATTCGTGTTTGAAACCCACGAATTCACGTTCAATTTTAAATGGCGTTCAATTTTTTCTATTTTTATTTTTTAAAGAGTTTCTCTCTCTCTCTCTCTCTCTCTCTCTCTCTCTCTCTCTCTCTCTCTCTCTCTCTCTCCGTTCGGAAACTCGGGCCCTTTTCTTCACGCCGCTGCCCGTGGTGTCTGGTTTTTTTTTTTTTTTTTTTTTTTTTTTTTATTTTTTTTTTCCCCCCCCCCGTGGTGTCTGGTTTTTTTTTTTTTTTTTTTTTTTTTTTTTCACACGAACCGCGGAATTGAACTTCGTGTTCGGTCGCATGCACTGAACGCACGTGCACTCCGTTCAAAAATTGAACGGAAAAGCCGTGTTCAATGAACGCCCGGTTTCATAGCTTCCAGGACCACAACTGTTATGATCTTGGTTGTCTGACGATTTTACCGCCACTCACACACAGACAATCTCATACATGCCCATACATGCATAAGAGAAGGGGGAGAGGAGACATAGTCCAAATTGTACATAGATCAGAGTAGACAGCGAAAGTTCAGCCATGCACAGATGGGGAGAAGACACCCTGGGTTTCTCACTCTCTGACAGACTCCCAACAACCAATCACAAGAAGAAACCTGCGAGGATAATAATTGGAAATTCACACTGATGAAGAGCCAATTAAAATTTGATATTGTTACAGAGTTTGTTCCAGTATCTCGCCACACTCAGAACCCCACACTCCACTCTCTACTGTACACCCAGTTAGTAGCACAACACCGAAATGGCCTCCCAGAGGCCAGCGTCAACCATCCAGATGAAGAACAAATCTTGCGATGTAGTCCTCAGTGCCGGTGAACAACTCTGACGAAGAAATAGGCAGCTATGGCTGCCGCCACCCACAAACACTGAGTGAAGAGCCTCGAGATAGCCCGGCCAGACGCAGATATCCTCAGGGGTAGATGCGCTGAGGATGCCCCAACTCCGGCAACCTTCAGAAGGGCCAGCTATGGCTGCCGTCCACGGCGAGGGTCTCAGGATACCGCCTGTACACAATCACCGCCACCAACTTGCTTGGCCTCTCCAAACGCTGCTTCACCAGAATGGACCGCCAAAAGTCCTGAACTGATTTCTCTGAACTATTAATAGACCTCTACTACCCTAGCCTAGACCTAGACCAGACTGACTGGACCGACCGGTACTGATTCAGTTTCGGCCTTTCCCTACCTGGCTATAGGCTATAGGACCGTCTATCGGTATAGGCCCTCAGGGCCTGTCCGTCCTAGGGGTAGCCCGGGTCTGCTATCCGCAGTTAGGGTCAGCTGTAGGAATTTCGAATTAGTACCCACAAACACTCAGTGAAGAGCCTCGAGATAGCCCGACCAGACGCAGATACCCTCAGGGGTAGATGCGCTGAGGATGCCCCAGCTCCGGCAACCTTCAGAAGGGCCGGCTATGGCTGTCGTCCATGGCGAGGGTCTCAGGATACCGCCTGTAGACAATCACCGCCATCAACTTGCTTGGTCCATTCTCCCGAAGCAGCGTTTGGAGAGGCCAAGCAAGTTGATGGCGGTGATTGTCTACAGGCGGTATCCTGAGACCCTCGCCGTGGACGGTAGCCATAGCCGCCCCTCCTGAACTTTCGCTGTCTACTCTGATCTATGTACAGTTTGGACTCTGTCTCCTCTCCCCCTTCTCTTATGCATGTATGGGCATGTATGAGATTGTCTGTGTGTGAGTGGCGGTAAAATCGTCAGACAACGAAGATCATAACACAACACTTATCTAGAGAACCCACTCATCGTCATAA